TGTCTTTTGTCGGTCTGAACCTGCTTTCCCTCCACCAGCCTCGTCAATGGGAAAAAAGACATGACGGAAAAGCAGCTGGAGCAGCTGCTGGAAGAACAGCAGCAGCTGGAGGAGCAGGAGCAGCTGGACAAACGTGCAGCTGACTTCAACCAGCAACGGCATGCTTTTGACTAAACTCTGGGCTCTGTCTGAAGATCTGCTTTGAGTGAAGAGAACAACCTTTTGTTCTTCACCATGAGACAGAAAAGCATCAGTCATACCAACCAACTACGCTATAAAATTCTGATTTGCATTGTTTTTGCTGATAGAGAAATTTGGTCCATTTATTTTGGTAAATTGTAAGATGCTTAATAAACTGGCATTTTGGCATTCTCAAGCTGCTTTCTTTTGTCTTATTTATAAATCTATTTGTGAAGCAAAAGGTTTGACTTTTAAACTACAGTTCACTGATAATATCAGGCCTGAAAGAGTTTACTTTACCAGGAGCTGTGTGATAATGATTCATGTTAAAACATAAATCAACAAACTTTTCTTTAAACTTTAGCAAACAGTAGCCACAGTGGTCATGGGGTAATTCAACAAAAGCTCCAGTGGTATTGCTTTGAGAAAAATAAAGGATGCATTTTAATGTTGATAAGAAGGTTTTATTTCCTCTTTCTCTTATTTCTTATCGTTTTTAATAATAATTTAAATATTGAGGGGCAAAGTCCATTTTTTCCAACAGAAAATGTGCTTTCTGAGTTGTGATGTGAAGCAGAGTAGGTAGACTTGTTTTGTGTAAAGTCATGAAGGTGAAACCCACAGGGCAATGTCTGTGCAGTAACTATGAATCAGGTCTGGCACTGACCACCTATCCTAACCACTTCTTTTTACACAATTTTAACGATTATGTAACTGACTGTAACTCCTGTATCTCTGTAACTCAGTTTTATTGGTGTTCCCCAAGGATCCACTCGGGGTCCACTATCGTTAGCATTGTATTGGATGTAAACATAAAAGAATAAATTAATAAATAAACAGGGAGAAGTGGGGAAATCAGTCAGAGAACCTCGATGCCCAAATATGTGTTTCAGGCCCTTTTAATTGTTGGTTACAAACTTCCCGTTTGTTAGTTCCTAATAAACTGTTGTATTAACCAGCAGCAAGATCAGCTCCGTTCTTGCAGCAGCTCAAGTCAGTTTACGATCAGTCTAGCCAGGTGTTACCAGCTTCGCCTCATGCTGCTCTTCAGCTATGCAGTGAATATGTTGGTAATTTTATCTTGACAACCTTGGATATAAGTTCCACATTGTGTTTAGGCGTATATTGAAACAGTACAGGGGATTTCAGTGACAAGAATGCTAACCAATGCTCATCTGACCTGATATCAGACTGTCATTTTAAATTATCTGTCAAGATCCTAAACCAAGTGCATACTGTTAGATCCATATGCATCCAAATCTATGTCTAAAATTCTGATTTAAAAATACCCCATTATATTGCGTAATAATGCTAAGTATGGTGTCATAGATTAGATGCAGGCTTCAACAAATATGACAGAATCTTAAGAATATTTGTCACTGCAATTGTTGAAAACCATCATCCAGTAATTACATTGTAGGGGTCAACTGACTATCAGCCTGGCAAATTATCTGATCCAACATTCTGTATCTATATCATCAGCATATATGTTTGTTTACCACTTTGGCTTCACCACTCTATAGGCCTGAGAAAAGTCCCATCTACAGCTCTTCTGGTTACATATCAGCAGTATTAGCTGATCGAAAACAGCAAATGAATTTCAATGAAGTTTGAAATTTTGACACCAAGATTTTCCTTTTAGGCAAATGTATATTGGTTCCACATATTAATTATTGGTTTCCTCTGGCCGTTTATCACTGCAGTAACTTCCATATATTTGGCCACACTCCAGCAGGTACTTATGAGCGTCCCTGGAACTGCTTAACTTGGGGATAATAAAAAGAACCACTTTTTTGAATGTCCTCTTCTAAAAGCAGTCTTCTAATCTGTCCTTAATGCCTGTTGCTACACGCCAGATCGGAACACTTCTGGAGATGCTTAAGAAGAATGATGAATGGCAACAACCATTAGTGGGATCAATCAATCTGGATCTGCTGGTCATTCAGAGGAGCCAACCTAAGGAAAAGCAAATCAGTTCCCTACTGTATCACTAAAAAGCGAATTTGACTTACTCCCTTTCCTTCCTTACAGAACATTAGCAGGAGGGAACAGACGCAAGAACCCCACAACCCAGTAAGAAGAACAGTAATGTATACACAAGATTTGTGGTACATATTGACGAAACTTAACACTGAAATGCAGAACATTGTTGAAGAAATGTTGAACAAAATAATGCCGTGTGGTTCCATACAACGTATTGCTCATCTTTTTCTGAACTAAATTGTAACTGAACCATTGGCTAATTTCTCAGATGTTATTATTTGGTGAATATTTGGAAAAAACTACAATTATTGGATTTACAATGGCAGAGTAAATCCTCCTAATTAACAAACGGTCAAATTACTTCTTGTTTAATGAACAATTGTCTAATTCACCTGAGCTAAACTGAAACCTTTAACCTGCAGAAAGCGATGGTAGATGGAGGTTTAGCTCAAGTTTCATGGTGGAGGTTAGACTGATAACCTGCCTGATCGAAGTGAGGTAGCATCCTATGATTATATCCATTTGCAATATTGCAGAATGTTTCACAATTAATTTATTAGTCCTGTATGTAAAAAAAAAAGAGGTGTACCAATGACAGCTATTCCTCATTGCTCTGTTTGAACACAACCGTCTGTCTTTGAATCAGTGGAACGTCCATGCTGTCCATGGTCATGCTCATGGCTGAACCCTGAACCTGGAGAGTGTATTTGGGGAGCGCTCACTCATGGTACAGTCATAATGCTGAGTACTGATTGATGGTTGTGATGGCAATTGTTTTCTTTTTGTGTATTATATTTAGCTGGAGGCAAGTTGCTCCACGGGTAAGGACATCGCTTCTATTTCTCTAACCCAGACCACAATAGAGTTGTTCACTAAGTTCTGTTACTGGGTATGGACTCTTATTATAAAAGTGAACCCAAGCATACAGATGGTTTTTTTCATCAATACATGTGTGAGAAAGAAATTGGTAAGCTCCTTTGACATTTTGTTTTGACAGTTTAGCACAGCGGGAAGCCATGAGGCGGTGTGTTGATTCTGAAAAGCCACCATGTTTCCGAGTCCCTGGTAGATCATTTGTAACATGTTATTTTGATAGTGTGGTATACCTCGATGCATCCTGTCAGCTTTTTATTAGCTAACTAGGGGCTCTAACTTTGAATAGTCCACATAGGTGAACTTTCCTCCCTTAGCCTTGTTAGAGGCTTGTTCCTTCTTTTAAAAAAAAAGAACGACGACAACATGCAGTTGCTCGAGATCCTTAAACCACTGTTACCTGGGAGAGACTCTTATTTAGAAGATTAACCCAGCAGATATGGAGCCGCTAAACACCCCATGGCTGATGGATGTTGGTCTGAGACATGTTGGAACATGTATCAAGGCTTTGTCAATATCATTAGCAACAGCTGTGTTAGCTTGAAGTTGCTGTTCGATGTGTCCTGCTTGTAGATCACACAATGGCTGTGTCCGAAATATAGGATGTTCACTATTTTGTAGTGCTGTTCAAATATAAAGTTACAATTGTTACACTCTATATAGTACACTCAAACTGTCCCACAATGCACCATGAAAAGTAGTGTCCAGCCGATGGTCACTAACCACGCGGTATGTCCTATCATGCATCGCGCGAACGAGATAAACCTAAGTGTAAAAACTTTGAATTTGATTTTAACTGTTTCTTAGCCATGTAATAAACTGAATATAATGTGTTTGGACCAATCTGCTACAGCACAAATCACGGCTAGCAAGCAGCGTAGTTAATAACGTTGCGACTTGAGTGGTGTCCGAAATGTTACTTTGCTGTGGTGCTCCACACATAGTACACTGTGTAGTGGTCCCTAGACAGGGAGTAGAAAGTAGGGAGTGAGTCGATGATTTCGGATGCAGTCAATAACATTATGGATTGCTGATGGAGGCAGCCATGTTTGTAGTCCTTAGTTCTCTGTCAAGTATCACCTGTCAGTCAATCACCTGTCAGTCACTGGTTACTATGGTGATTCCCGCCTTTTCAGTGGAGGGGTGAGAAGGCAGAGTTTGGTTTGCAGAGAGAGGAGCAGACAGGAAGACTAAGGATTAACACCTCGAACGAGCATCATTGCATCATTCTTATTTATGGCCTTTCTTTCATTGCTGAGAACCAATGGTCATACACTTTTGCAATACTACAAAATGTTGTGTAATTACTAAGTTCTCTTGTTCCTGCATGTATATATAAGGAGATGAACCAGTGTACCAGTTGGAACAGATACCAGTCTGTAAACCTCTCATCACTCTGAAAAGATCAATTCAGTTGAAAGGTAAGAACTACGTATTCAATTTAGTTGAAAATAAGACAAAGTAACTGCAATGTTTAAATAATGGTGGGTTTTTTTTTCTTTCTTTCTTTTTTAATTTTGAGTTCGATCAGTGTGATTTTTGTCTTTTTTATCTTTGCAGGATGAAGTGCACTGTGGCCTTTCTTGTGCTGTCCATGGCCGTCTTCATGGCCGAACGTGGAGACTGCTATTGGGGTAAAGTAAAGTCATGAGATCACTTTCTTTCTTTTTGTTGCACTTATTTAAAGCACGCTCTGACTCTGTTACGTTCTATAACTAGTAATGCCGAGTGTTGATCCATGATAGTGATGGTGATTGGTGTCTTTTTTGTGTATTTCATTCAGTTTCCCACCACGTGGTCCATCAGTAAGGATTTCTACAACTGCTAACATCACAACTTTTCAAATCAAAGAAATACAATTAGTTGCTATGTTACAATTCTTTCTATTATTAGTTTGTCTTTTGTCGGTCTGAACCTGCTTTCCCTCCACCAGTTTCATCGGGAAAAAAGACATGACGGACAAGCAGCTGGAGCAGCTGCTGGAGGAGCAGCAGCAGCTGGAGGAGCAGCAGCAGCAGCTGGAAGAGCATCAGCAGCTGGAAGAACAGCAGCAGCAGCTGGAAAAGCGTTCAGTTGACTTCAACCATCGACGCCATGCTTTTGACTAAAGTCTGGGCTCTGTCTGAAGATCTGCTTTGAGTGAAGAGAACAACCTTTTGTTCTTCACCATAAGACAGAAAAGCATCAGTCATACCAGCCAACCAAGTTATAACATTCAGATTTGCATTGTTTTTGCTGATAGAGAAATTTGGTTCATTTGTTTTGGTAAATTGTAAGACGCTTAATAAACTGGCATTTTGGCATTCTCAAGCTGCTTTCTTTTGTCTCATTTAAAAATCTATTTGTGAAGTAAAAGGTTTCACTTTTAATATGAAGAATTCACTTGCAAAAACAGATCACTCCATATTTGTAGATTTTCAGAAAACTTTTTTTTTCTTGTTGTTTGCTTGAGTTAATATCAATCAAACTGAAGTTGAGTGGATTTGACTCAGTAGAAATAGAAAAATACAGACAACTTAAGTTCGATTGATATTGTCTCAGGTAGACGATGGAAAAGTGGGTTTTCTGAAGGCTTGTGAAGATGGAGTTATCTGTTTTTGCAAATGAACTCTTCAAATACAGTTCACTGACAATACCAGGCCTGAAAGAGTTTACTTTACCAGGAGCTGTGTGATAATGATTCATGTTAAAACATAAATCAATAAACTTTTCTTTAAACTTTAGCAAACAGTAGCCACAGTGGTCATGGGGTAATTCAACAAAAGCTCCAGTGGT